TTAGGGTTAGGAATAGGGTTAGGGTTAGATTTAGGGTTTAGGTTAGGTTTAGGGTTAGGAATAGGGTTAGGGTTAGAGTTAGGAATAGAGTTAGGGTTAGGATTAGGGTTTACATTTGGGTTAGGGTTAGAGTTAGGTTTAGGGTTAGAGTTAGGTTTAGGAATAGAGTCAGGATTAGGGTTAGGGTAAGGTTAGGGTTTAGGTTTGGGTTAGGGTTAGGAATAGAGTTAGGGTTTGGAATAGGGTTAGGGTTAGAGTTAGAAAAAAAGTTAGGGTTTGGAATAGGGTTAAGGTTAGGGTTAGAATTAGGTTTAGGGTTAGGGTTAGAAATAGAGTCAGGGTTAGGATTAGGGTAGGGTTAGGGTTTAGTTTTGAGTTAGGGTTAGGGTTAGGATTACAGTTAGAGTTAGCATTAGGGTGAGGTTTCGAGTTAGGATTAGAGCTAGGCTTAGGGTTGGGGTTAGGATTTGGGTTTGGGTTAGGGTTAGAGTTAGGGTTAGGGTTAGGCTTAGGGTTACAGTTGGGTTAGGGTTGGGGTTACGATTTGAGTTAGGGTTAGGGTTACGTTTAGGGTTACAGTTGCGGTTAGGGTGAGGGTTAGCGTGTAAATTTGGATTAGGGTTATGGTTAGGGTTAGGATTAGAGTTCGAGTTAGGGTTATGATGAGTGTTAGGGTTAGGGTTATGGTTATCTATGTTCTGGGTGGGACTTGTAATGTCACTGTATAATTGCTTCAGTTCTTTGATTTTTGATGTGAATAGGGAGTTAGGGGAGGCCACTCTGCCCTTTGAATCTGATCCAGCATACAATTACATCATCAACAATCTGATGACTCCATATTCCCACAATAACACTTCACCGTGCCCTACTTCCCCACCCCCTTGTCGCCCACCCCCCCCAGGAGCCCCCACATTCCACACCCCCTCCCCCACAACTTGCTTATGAAGAATCTACCCACCTCTGCCTGGGGTTTGAGAAAGACACTTCAAAACACATTCGACCCTTTGTCTGATAAAATTCTCCTCATCTCTATTTTAAATAGGCAACACCTTTTTTTTAAGAAAACAGTGACCCTTAGTTCTAGAATTTTCCACATGAAAAGAAATCGTCTCCACACACATCATGTCAAAACCCCTCAGAATCTTGTACATTATAATCAAGTTGTCTTTTAATCTTCTAAACTCCAGCATATACAAACATACCTGACCAATCTTCCCTGATTGGATAACCCACCCATTCCAGGTATTAACCTGTTAACCCTTCCCTAAACTGCTTCCAATGTCTTTGCATCCTTTCTTGAATAAGGAGACCAACACTGTATACAGTACTCCAGATGTGGTCTCACCAATGCCTCGTATAACTGATGCAATAACTATATTTTTGCAATCAATTCCTCTCACAATAAATGAAAACATTCACAGAATCCTTATAGTTTGGAAAGAGGCCATTTGGCCCATCAAGTCCATACTGACCCTCTGAAGAGCATCCCATCCAGACCCTTCATTTCCCATGGCTAAACCACCTAGCCTGCACATCCCTGGACACTATGGGGCAATTTAGCATGGCCAATCCACCCTAACCTGCACATCTTTGGACTTTGTGAGGAAATTGGAGGAAATCCACACAGACACAGGGAGAACATGCAAACTCCACACAGACAGTCACCTGAGGGTGGAATTGAACCTGGGTCCCTGGCACTGAGTGTCAGCAGTGCTAACCACTAAGCCACTAAACCACGATACCATCCCCAAGAGGTTGGGCAGAAAGCAGGGAAATTGGACTCTGAGATCCTCCTAGCTAGTAAATTACTAAATTTTCATTTCAGTCCATTTGGGCTGAAATCTTTGTGCCACCTCTTGTGAACTTAGTGCCATGGGATGACAGAATAAAGACAGTCAAAAGACTTTTACTCTATACTATAACATGGTGATCGCTATCGAATTCAAGTCTAATATCACACACCCAGCCTCTAGTTTCACTCCTTCTTTACTCATGAACTTGGATTCTTCGAGTTCTGGGTAGCTGAGTTTAGACAGAGCCAGCGCACAAGGGGCTGCCATCACTGAGGCTGCGATCAAACTGGAGGCACTAATCTGTAACATAAGATCAGAACATGATTGGATTGAGGATATCGATTGAAAAGCATTTGAATAATCTATTAATTTCTTGATAACTCATGCATTATTAAAAAAAAAGGTGTCATATGCTGCATTTGGAACTGGAGTTACATTAACCCAGCCGATTAAGACGCCAGAACTCTATTTTGAACACTGCTCAATATTTGCATATGCTTTGCACAGATGTTACTGCCAGTATCCTGCTCTGTTGGATGCCAGTCATATCCTGGGTAGTGTTGGGGCAAAAACCAGTGTTTTACAAGCCTTATATATCATTGCCCAGATTTCAGACCAGATAGGCCTGTAACAATAAGACAGTTCAATGATATCACAATATCCAATGTGTTAGCAAAAAAAGGGTACGTGCCTCAGTCTCTTTGTGTAATGGAGTCATTTGGTTATCCGTGTGTAATATGTAGTAAGATTAGTAAGTCCAGAACCCAGACTGTGTGTCAGCCTGTGGTCTTATATAAATATCAAGTGTTGCTAATGAACTTCAAGATACCTGATTCAACAGAAGCCAACTTTAAGTGGCATATGTAACCTGGGCTGACATATAGAAAACCAGAAATATCATCACCCAATCTTCAGAAAGGAATTCTGAAAGGGGTGGGATAAAGCAGGATTTCTCCTTACTCCACAAGTGGTTTATGAAAATCAGGAAATATTTTGAGCTTTTTTAAAGGGCCAGGTCAATACATATGCTTGGCTTTGTTCAAGAATTTAACTATGACTGAATGGGGACAGTAAAAATATTTATGTCGTTCACAAACAAACATTATATCATGGATTCTTGAAGTCAGTTGGATTGTGTACAAATATACTTTGAATAAAGTACTTTAAAACTTTTACTGACTTCTTCAGCTCTGCTTGCTATATAAGTAATCAAAGTTTTAAAAATTCTGTTGTCTTTAACTTCAGTGTAATTCTAATTCTAATAAATCTGACTCGCTCCTTTAGCCAGTTTGACATGCTGTTTAGTGTTGGGTTTGATAATACAAAGTGTGGGACAATCGACACGAAACTCTGATACACATTTGACCAGTAAAAAGGTAATTGATAGCCCAGTGATGAGCTGCTCCAATTCACAGCAGTGGGCCATTCAGCCTCTCAAGTCTGTTCTGTCATTCTGGTGGACTATGCAGGATGTGCATCTTCATTCTAATGTGGTATGTAACCCTTTAATGCACTTGCCTTCGGAAAAGGATCAGTCTGAGATCTGACTATTTTCAGTGATTGCTAAGTACATCAGCTTTTTGGGAGATAAAATTCCAGTTTCCCATTACTCTTTGTGGGGAAGGTACAGGTGGAGAAGGGTGTTGGTTTTGAGCTATAAACAGAGAACAAGTAGCATGGGGAGAGGAAAACTGAACAGCGACAGCACACTTACCCCAAAGGAGATGTAGGCCCCAAGGACACTGCCAGCAATCGTAGCGAACCCTCCAGTCATTACAGCATGCATTTCCGACTTGGTCATTTCTGACAGGTATGGTCGGATGAGAAGTGGTGACTCTGTCTGAAATAAAATCAATGTTTCTTCACGATTGTGTTACAAGCACCTTTTCTGGAAGATGACCCGATCTGTCACAGCTACAACAAGTAGAGAAGGTAAAGCTTTAATTTCTAACACTGCCTTCACCATCAAACAGATCTTAGAATTATGGTGCAGAGATTCAGGCCATTCAGCCCATCCTGTCTACACTGGCTCTCCAAACAAGCAATTGCCATTCTCCCTGTAGCCTACACATTCTTCCTTTTTGAAATTCCCTTTTTTCACTGGAGCGTAGGTGATGAAGGGTGACCTTATAGAGGTCTATAAAATCCTGAGAGACATAGACAGCCAATAGCTTTTCCCCAGGGTAGGGGAGTTTAAAACTGGAGGGCATAGGTTTAAGGTGAGAGGGGAGAGATACAAAATGGTCCAGAGGGGCATTTTTTCACACAGAGGGTGGTGAGTGTCTGGAATGTGCTGCCAGAGGTAGTGGTGGAAACGAGTACAATTTTATCATTTAAGAAACATTTGGACAAGTTTTTTTAATTCATTCGCAGGATGAGGGCATCGCTGGCTAGGCCAGCATTTCTTGCCCGTCCCTAATTGCCCAGAGGGCAGTTACGGGTCAAGCACATTGCTGAGGGTCTGACATCAAGTGTAGGCCAGACCAGCTAAGGATTGCAGTTTCCTTCCCTGAAGGATATTAGTGAATCAGAAAGGTTTTTCTGACAATTGACAATGGATTCATGGTTATCATTAGACTGTTAAATCCAAAAGTTTATTAAATTCAAATTCTACCATCTGCCATGGCAGGATTTAAACCTGAGCCCCCAGATAATTACCTGGGTCTCTGGATGAACAGTCCAGCGATAATGCCACGAGGAAATGGATGGGATAGATATGGAGAGATATGGACCAAATGCAGGCAAATTAAAGTAATTTAATTATGAAAACTGGGCAGGATGGGCAAGTTGGGCTGAAAGGCCTGTTTCCATGTTGTAGACCTCTATGATTCTATCAAAGCCTGATTGAAACTGCTTCAATCATAGTCTCAGGCAGTGCATTCCAGACCCTAAACACTTTCTGCCTGAGGAAAGTAATTACTTCTGCCACAAAGTTGCTGGAAAAGCTCAGCAGGTCTGGCAGCATCTGTGAAGGAGAAAACAGAGTTAATGTTTCGGGTCCAGTGACCCTTCCTCAGAACTGATGGTGGCTGGGAAAACATCAGTTTATATGCAGAAAGTAGGGAGGTAGGTGGGTAGGGAGTAAACGATAGGATAGAGCACAAAGAGAGAGAAAGACAGTTGGACAGACAAAGGAGTTGCTAACGATCAGGCTGGGAGGGTGAATAGTTGTTAATGGGGACTGTTAGTGACTAACAACAGGGAGTGTGTAATCGCAGGTAACAAAGCCTGGTGTGTGGGGTGGGGGGCTGGGACATGGGAGAGTTTAGGCCCTAAAATTATTGAACTCAATATTGAGTCCGGAGGGCTGTAGAGTCCCCAAGGGGAAAATGTGGTGTTGTTCCTCCAGCTTGCGTTGGGCTTCACTGGAACACTGCAGCAAGCCAGAGACCGAGATGTTGGCCAGGGAGCAGGGTGGTGCATTGAAGTGGCAGGCAACAAGTGGTTCAGGGTCTTTTTTGCGAGCAGAACGTAGATGTTCTGCGAAGTGGTTGCCAAGTCTACGCTTCATTTCCCCAATGTAGAGGAGACCACGTTGTGAGCAGCGAATGCAGTAGACTAGATTCTGGGAAGTGCAGGTGAAGTGTTGCTTCACCTGGAAGGTATGTTTGGGCCCTTGGATTCTGAGGAGGGAGGAGGTAAATGGGCAGGTGTTGCACCTTCACTGGTTATGGGGGAAGGTGCCGTAGGGCTGTGGGGAGGTGTTGGGGATGAAGGAAGTGTGGACCAGGGTGTCCTGGAGGGAACGGTCCTTGTTCCTGATTTACAGCATCCACAGTTTTTTTGGTTTTTAATTACTTCTGCCATCTTTGCTTTGTTCGCCAATAACATCAAAACAGTTAGGGTTAGGGTTAGAGTTAGGGTAAGGGTTAAGATTCGGGTTAGGGTTGGGGTTAGGGTTAAGGTTATGGTTAGGGTTAGGGTTATGGTTAGGGATAGGTTAGGGTTAGGTTTAGGGTTAGAGATGGGGTTAGGGTTAGGGATGGGGTTAGGTTTAGGGTTAGGGTTAGGGTTAGGGCTAAGGTTAGGATTAGGGTTAGAGTTAGGGCTAGGGTTAGGGTTAGAGTTAGGGCTAAGGTTAGGGTTAGGGTTAGAGTTAGGGTAAGGGTTAAGATTAGGGTTAGGTTTGGGGTCGGGGTTAGTGTTGTGTTTGGGGTTGGGATTGGGGTTAGGGTTGGGATTGGGGTTAGGGTTAGGGATGGGTTTAGGTCTAGGATTAGGGTTAGGGTTAGGGCTAAGGTTAGGGTTAGGGCTAGGATGGAAAGTATGAGCTTTATGAGTGGGAATGGTCTTTCCCTATCTACACTGTCCAGACACTCCTGATTTCGACATTAACCGTCAAATTCTGTCCCTGGCCTTGGTCATTGTGATGGCAAAGGAGGGTTAGGCCTAGTGACAATGGAAGAACTAATCCCATACCCGGAGGAGAATCTTCATCTTTGTTCATACCTGCCCCACAAAGATATTGCCGGCAACGCTCAGTGTCTCTGCAGCTGATGTTCCCATGGTAACCTGCATCAACCACGCAATCTGACTCGAGAATAAAAAACACACAGTTACAATTAAAGATATCGCGCAAATGGAATGGAATTGAATAAAACAGTGATTTATTGCTGTCCAATACATTGAAAGGTCGAAGGTTTAGGACAGATTGGCGGGTTAGCAGACTGTGCAGGGAGAACTAGGTGGAGCACTTTGCTTCATTTCACTATCGCCTGTTGACTCCTCATTGAGAGCTGCCCTGTCATAAGGAAACACTGAGTAATGACCTTTGTACTTCCAGATTGGCAATGCCTTATCAATCCCATCAGATGGTACAACTGAGCATCACGTTACAGAGCTGCGTGTGGGTGCCTACCTTCCACACTCAGCGATGGTGGTGTAGCTCAGACACAAGGCCTCGAGTGGGAGAGTATCAGCGCCATTTGCAAACGGCCTTCACTTTTTCCTTTTGGGCCCTGTCTTCTTTGGGCTTGCTGGACTGACCCAAGGCTGAGTTAGATAGATTTTTTGATTGATGAGGGAGTTAAAGATTACGGGGACAGACAGGAATGTGAGGGCCACTAACTGCATTAGCTATCCCCTCCTTGAAACAGGATCATAGGGCTAAATGGCCTGATGCTGCTCCAAAGTCCTCTTTTCCTCAAGTACAATGAAAGCTTTAACAAACAGCAAGAGAGAGAGCCAGAGAAACTCAGCAGGTCTAAAAGCTCCCGTGGAGAGAGAAATAAAGTTAACATTGTGAGTCCAGTCTGACTCTCCTTCAGGACTCTGGCTGAGCTCAGTCTGCCTTCCTTATTTGGGGGCAGTGAGTACATAGTTAGGAGTGTGCCCTGATGAAAGCCGCCAATGCAGACTCACTGCCCACCTGTGTGGATTCAGGACCTGAGTCTGAACAAGTGTCATATTGAACTCAAAACGTTAACTCTGTTTCTCTCTGCACAGACGTTGCCAGGCCTGCTGAGTTTCTCCGGCAATTTCCATGTTTGTTTCACATTTCCAGCACTCTCACTTTATTGCCTTCATTGCAATGACCATTTTTTTTCACTCAAACTATTTTCAGCCTCAGGAAATATCGAGGGATATCTTAATCAAGGTCTTAAAAGTGATCAATAGATTTGAAGAAAGGTAGACTTCATGAAGGTGATTTCACTTGTGGACCAAAGGTCATAAATATTGGACAAATCTCAGAGTAGAAAACTCTTCACCCAGGAACAGGCTGGAATATGGAACTAGCTACTGCAAGGAGTAGCTGCAGAGAATGGGTTAGATATGTTTGAGGGAAGGCTCGGTAAATACGCGAGAGGGAAATAAATGATGGAATTGGATTCTGTTAACATGGGGTGGGAGGAGATCCTGCGTACCATAAAGGATAGTATAGGATAGTTTGGCTGAATGGCCTGCTTCTGGGCTATACCTTTACAATCAGCCACTGCATTGCACCCACGTAGTAGAGAATAGACATCACGCAGCTGAAGAAGACCACAATGGGCAGGGCCTGTGGACAGAGAGAGATCAAGTATCAGAACGAGCTAACACAGCAACTCCGCCCCTGAAGTGGGGAACCCTCCCCATTGCTAGCGGCACAGTTTCAGTGGATAACCTACAGTGACACTACAATGCAGTACTGGGGCAGCGCTACACTGTTAGAGCTACCTTCCACCAAGACTTTTTAAATTCATTCAAGAGATGTGGGAGTCGCTAGTATTACCCATCCCTAATTGCCCAGAGGGCAGTTCAGAGTCAGCCACATTGCTGTGGGTCTGGAGTCACATGTAGGCCAGGCCAGGTAAGGACGGCAGTTTCCTTCACTAAAGGACATTAGTGAACCAGATGGGTTTTTCCGACAGTCAACAATGGATTCACAGTCATCATTAGATTCTTAATTCCAGGTTTTCATTGAATTCAAATTCCAGTATCTGCCAATGTCAGGATTCAAACCTGAGTCCCCAGAACATTACATGGGTCTCTGGATTAACAGTCCATTGATAACAACACGAGGCAATTGCCTCCCCATTGGAGAGAAATGAAGAACTGTCTGAGTGACATTCATGGTTTCCTTGAGCCATGGGTGAAAAGGGCTCACCCAATGGCTGCCTGGAGTCACATCATTGCTGACATAACCTCCTACCTAACTCTGTCTTTACATTCCCCAAGCCAGGAATCTAGCTCCAGCTCAGTAACAGGCTGAGGTATAGGCCAACTGGCATCCTCAATGTAACTGTAGCAACGGTAGAATAGAGCCTTCCTTGGCCCCAGCACGAGCTGTGTGGTACAGTTAACCATCACATCCTCCTCAGGCGCAGGTCTTTACAGCTACTTGCTGCTCCATGGTGACACCATTCAAACACCTGGCACCAAACTTCCTCTGTTCGTTGGCAACCATCAGCTCAGTCTCCACAGCGATGCTTCGAGACGTCTCACTGACTCTGTGCCATTGACTGCTTAGTCAGACATTCATATCCTCTCCATTACAAGGACTAATTTCACCTCGATCTGTCACCTTGCCTGACACCAGTGAGGAACACTAGAAAAGATTCAGTAATGCTTGGAAATGGGTGCGCTGGAGGCATACAGATTTTTTTCTTCTGAGACAGCCCCTAACACTGTTTATCTGCTGTTGAAACTTTCGTCCATGTTTTTGTTGCTTCCAGTTTGACTATTCTAGTTCTTATTTTCAGTCCAAGGACTAATGCAAGGAATGAGGTGTCTCCCTGGCAACATTTTACATCCTGTTGAGTTTGGTTGGCTCGCCAAGCTGGTTTCTTGTTTTGCAGATGTTTCGTTTCCCTGCTGGGTAACATCCTCAGTGCAGCCTCTGATGAAGTGTCGGTGTGGTTTCTCGCCTGGTTTTTAAACTTTGGGGTCCGTTGAGATGGATTGCCTCACTTACGGTTTTCTTTCGTAGTGGAATGTATATGGGGTCGACTTCAATGTGTTTATTAATAGCATGCTTCATGGAGTGCCATGCTTCTAGGAATTCCCGTGCCTGTCTCAGCCTAGCCTGTCCCAGGATCTTGGTGTTGTCCCAGTCGACGTGGTGGTTTTCCTTATCCATGTGGATTGAGATGAGTGAGCATTGGTCGTGTTTTTTGTAGCCAGTTGGTGTTCGTGTACCCTTGTTGTTAGTTTCCTTCCTGTTTGTCCAATGTAGTGTTTCTCGCAGTCTCTGCAGGGGATCTTGTAGATGACATTGGTCATGTCCATGGCGGGGAGTGGGTCTTTAGTTCGGGTGAGCACTTGTCGTAGGGTTGATGTGGGCTTGTGTGTCACTCTGATGCCCAGCAGTCGTAGGAGTCTTGTGGTTAGTTCCGATGCGTTCCTGATGTAGGGTAGTGTGATGAGTGTGTTGGAGCGTGTAGTATCGTTCTGATGCTGTTCGTGTAGGCATCTTCTGACTCAGTTTTTTGGATATCCATTATCCTTGGAAACCTGGAACAGGTATTCTTCTTCCTCTTGGCGTAGGTCCGTGTTGCTGTAGTGTGTTGTTGCCCTTTTAAATAGTGTTTGCATGCAGCTTCATTTGTGTGCTTTGTCACGATCAACTACTTCCGGCTCAACTACACCTTGGGGTCAATGTAAAGGTAACTCAATACAAATGCAGTTACATTAATCTGACACATTGGGCTCAATGTTACCCCCTTGTCTGTAGTCCTTTCTTTATTAATTCACGGGATGTGAGCATCGCCAGCATTTATTTCCCATCCCTAATTGTCCAGAGGACAAAAACAATCAACCACGGTGCTGTGGGCCTGGAGTCACATGTAGGCCAAACTGGGTAAGGATGGCAGATTTTCTTCCCTGAAGTACATTAGTGAAACAGATGGGACTTTCCTGACAATTGACAGTGGATTCACAGTCATCACTAGATTGCCAGATTTGTAATTGAATCCAAATTCCATCAACTGTCAAGGCGGGATTTGAACCCGGGTCCCCGGTACATTACCTGGTCTCTGGATTGATAGTCTAGCTATAATACCACTAGGCCAGAGATAGTTAGAGCTGCTGATGCTGGAGTCAGAGATAACACAGTGTGGAGCTGGAGGAACACAGCAGGCCAGGCAGCATCAGAGGAAC